ATATATATATAGTTGTTTTAACAAAATTATAATTTGCTTAAATACAGGTAACTGTGAATGTACAACAGAATATTTTGTCTGCTTATAAAAATAAGCAGTTTGATTGGATGAAATACTTAGTACAAAGAAATTCAGATTATATTCAATTAAAGTAAATGAGAATTGCTTATTTTATCTTTTTTAACAGTATCTTTTATTTGAAATTATCACAACTTATGTTCGACAAAACAATTCATGGTTTAGTGAATTAAATATGTTCATTACCACTATTGTTAATTCAACTTATACGAATATTGTTATCTTTATTACCATATGCTTGAATTAAAAAACCAAGTATTTCAAAAAACAAACTGAACCTCAACTAAACGCATTTGGTTGAGTTAATAGTATTTTTTTCTCAGTGCAAAGATTCGCGAATAAGCATGCATCAGGCTGTCTCACGCGAATAATTCTGGGGGACACCTTGTATATATATATAAGTTTTTCAATTGAATTTATGTTTACGTATATGTATACAAATGTGCATACGTTTCTATTTTAGAAAACTTGTTCTCGAAATTGCGAATGCTAGGAGACATTATTTCAAGATTTTGAGACCGAGAAAGGAAAGTATGGAATCGTTTGTCGCTACGTTTATGGACACGAACGTATTACCGTTGTGGCCACCCGGTTGCGTACGGTTGCAGACTTTGTTGAAGTATGCTAGTCCTGTTGAACCTGTGTAAGTACAGTTTATAGTGTTAATATCTATTGTACATAGCTATTAACATATGTTACATGTTTTGACATTCTCTGTCTTGTAGCGTAGCGACTTTTGTTTTTGTATTATTATACGCTTTGCTTTGCGCATGAAAGTATCCTGCTCTAGTAGCTCATATCTTCATCAAGGTAAAAAGAAATGGGAACCTGCGATATAATTAATATTTTAGTTTTTGAAAATCATAATTTTAAATCAAGCGATTTGAAGCGCGCATTATTACACGATGTGTCAGACAATTAATTAGTCGCTTCATTAGTTGCTCATTGTGTGTTTTAGGTAATTGTGGATTAATACTGATTTCTACTTCTTCGCGCGAAACATTATGGAAATGTTAACATTAATGGAATCCTAGAAAAAGTCGTATTCTGCAAAATGTTGAAGTTTTTTTTGTTTGTGTATAGAGTGTGTAAAAAATTGTCGATACACATCCGGAATATCTACTACTTGGAAAAATTTTCAAATTCTCTCTACTATTTCTTGGAATACTTTAAAAATACAATTTCTTCATTTATTAAACAAAGTTTTGTGCTTAAAATCAAAAGATGATTCTTTTGATTTTCAACAAAACTTTGCTTCTTTTTATTAATATAAAAATTTTCGAAAACTTGATTTGCGTGATGAAATGTTGAAGCTAAAGCGCACAATGCTTTTTTCCCCGTTGTGCTGGTTTACATTGTGCGCGCATCAAAATCGGAAATTCTTCGGAAATCTAAAAAGCTGTTAAATGTGTAACATTTTGAAATTTGAGTAATTTTTATTTTCGTAATTAACGAGTAGGATAATATTTCATATAATGTATTGATAGCAAATATTTTGCAACAAATTTATCTTGAAATTTTATTTAAAAGTGCTTGAAGTTTATTTCGAAAATCTCATTCTCATCTTTTCAAAAAGCTTTTTCCAAGAGTTAAGTAGATATTTTTACATGTAAATATTTATTTATTGGCGAGGTAAAACCGTTTTCTTTGGATGCTTCCTTAATTGTTTGTACATGTACAAAAAGTTGGTTTATATTATTTATGTGTATTTACTTAGCAAAAACACACGACTTTGTTCATTATTTATAACTTATTAAATACATGTAATTAACTTAATACACACATACGTATAATTAACTTAATACACGCTTTTTTATATTATATATTAATTTTTATCATTATTCTGCTTGTCTTCTTTCTTTTATATTCCTTCATATTAATTTTTATCAGTATTCTGCTTGTCTTTCTTTATATGTATATTTCTTTCACATTGACACTTTGGTCTATTGGTTTTTATATCAGTTGATGGTTTTAGCATTAAGAAGAAATTGAAGAAACCAAAAGAAATGGCCAATGCAAACAATATCGCCACTTCTGGGAGCATTCAAGGTTCCAATTTCATCGCGAGGAACGATATGGCAAACGTCAATAATGTTACGTCTCAAGAAAATGAGAGGACGAATGTTTGCAAACCTCAGATTAGTGAAAACTCAACAACTTTTGCAAGTCAAACGAAACCTAACGACGTTAGCGCCGACAGGAAACAACACATTAGTAAACACAAGGATAAGCATATAGAAAATAATGCGAATCAGCAGCAAGAAAGTGCTACGATCGTCACCGCTAACAATTGCGCCGTTGGTAAAATCTCTGTCGTGCCCACGGCTCAACTAATGGCTCAGAAGCCAGCTAAGGCTCATGTCGAAAAATTTAATCTAATGGATCTAACAAACAGCTCTCTATCTATAACTCCCGTAAATGATTATCACAAGTCATCTCTGAAGACAACAGAAACAAAAAAAGATGTAGTTTCTATTACAGCCTGTCTGGAACCTATAAGTCATTCTAAATCAAGCGAAATTCCGCAAACCGTTGGTCATCATTCCATATACAATCAAGATACTTCTTATTCATCGACTCAAAATTTAAAACATAGATTTCTACAAGAGAACACTGATCTTAAGTGCGACAAAAGATTAGACGATAAAGATGTCGACACGATAGGTAACAAGACTGACAAAAAAGATAAGAAGAGAGAGCGTTGCATAGAAATGAAGCATAAACCGCCGCACGATCCGAAAAAAAGGAAAAAGGATCAGAAGATGATTGAACAACAGATAGGGCCTATTATTCAAGATATAATACGTATGCCACAGCAAACGACTCTTAGCAAGGAAGAACAGGAACAAAGGCAAAATGAGGAAACAATCGCCGCAACTACGTTTCTTAGTCAGATTATTAATGATGATTCTTCGCCACGTGGATTGTCAGATAAACGAAAGGACGGATTTATCACAGACGATAGTTTAGGAAATATAGTGCAACCGACGGAACAGGAAAAGGATGTTCAAATGGTAATGAGATCGTTAAAAGAGTTGCAGGAATTACAGGAAATGAAGTATTCACCGAGCAATTCGCCAATTAGCACCCTTCAAAAGCCTAGCAAATCGAACACGCAGTACGTTAATTATCAAGAGGATTATCAACGATTGTACCTCAATAAATAAGATAAAAATCAGATCTAAGAAGACACATAATGAAGAATTAAAAACGCCTTGATAGAGTATCAAGCGTTTCGTAATTTAATTTACACTTATGGACATTTAATAATGATCAGTTATTATTAATTTTAACGTGAGATAGCAGGCGGATCTCTTCGTGTTTGTATAATTGTGCTTCACATAAAAAAAAAAAAAAACGATTTGAGGGAGATTTGACTGGAAAAACTTCTTCCACTTATATAAAACGCCGTTATTGAAAATTAAAAAACTCCATGCAACTGTCATTTGACTCTAGCGGATCACATTTATGGATGTGTTCGCTTTGATTGCTCAATGTCAGTCTTATCTTTGTTCCACATTTTAATCAAATAAAAATAACAGACTGACGCGCGAACTCAAATTCGCGGTGAGAATTCGAAGCGAATGCAACTTTTAGATGTGAACGCGTTAAGGAGATTTTTAAGTACATATTTTTAAAACAAGAATCGCCAAATTATGTACATACATTATACATTTGTTAGCGGTAGTTTCGGTTGTAACACGTGTGTACAGAGAATAAGTATAAATTATAAAAATTCTTCTTAAAGTACGGAAACAAACAGCAAACGCGAAAAAAGTTACAATGAAGTAAAAAAATTATATATATATATATATATATA